CCAAAATGGATTTAAGCATGTGTTTGCTTAGTTCATTAATGCAGGTTCAAACTCCCTGTCAGGACACCATCTGCCAGAAGTATGAAATGTCCTCATCTGGATGCAGACAGCTCCTGAGTGTTTGGCTACTCAGCAGCCAACCAGCTGTCAGTAGGTGGATGTTCCATTCACCATTACAGGTATTGCATGACATTCTTTTTAAAAGTATTTTATCTGAATAGTTCACTCACTGCTTATAGTAGGTTCTGAAAACAGAGGCCTAGAAGCTAGAAAAAGAGACTCATCATTCACAGCATAGACTTCCTTAATTTTGTTCCCCTTACAGTCACTTCTCAGAAAATAATAAATTAATAAAAATTTTCAATCTGTTTGTTGTTTCAGTTCATTTTAGGGTGACACAAGCAGCTTTCAGTTCTTTACGTTCTGCACAAGCCTCCAGAAATATTGAATGTTTACTAGAGTTTGGTGATGCTAAATCAAGTACAACTATCACCCTTTAAGGCCTAAAAGATAAAGCGATATCATACCAATAACACGTTTTGACAGTGCTGACACCTGCTACAGAGAAGCAGTTTAATGACTTATAGAAAAGGGCATTTAAACTTGCTAGAAATCCTAGAAATAACCCTTTATTTTTGGAAGGTTGTGTTTTCATTCATAGTATCAAGCCTTTTGATGAACTCTGTGGCATATTCTACAGCATATCTTGTAAAAGACAAATAGCTGTATGAAGAACTTCATTAAACCACCGTTTTTCATCATTTTGACTGTGTGAGTGGAAATGGATAGGAATTCATACTAGCTCACCCTGAAACAAGAACAATCCTGAAATGAATGCAGCACCTGGTGAGAGCCAAGAAAAGCTTATTAGCTGTTTTTTTTAATCACCTAAAAACTTTTACACAATTCGAGCATAGCCAAAACTTTCTAGAAGCTGGAGGAGAAGAAGGGGAGGGGGAAAGGATTTTCTGCTAATTGATTTTAAGAGCAGACTCATCAAGTGTTGTAGCATCTGCTGTTGTCAACCTTTCCATTGTGATGTTGGTTTAAAAGAAAAAGAAAAAAGAAAAGGAAAGAAAGAAAGAACATGAACATTGCACCTGAGGAATAGAAACACATGTTTTGCCCCAGGTTAAAGAAAAACAACCAAACACTTGTTTCCATATACTTGATTAGCTCTCACTTTTTTATTTAATGCTCAGCTTAACAAGTGAGGAACAACCCCCAACCACCCGCCAATAACATCTAAATACCATAGATTAGAGGAAATGAGAGACTTGACCAAATCTTGGTGCTTTGCCTCACACAGGAGATTTTCAGGTTTTCATGGACCCTTCCAAGCAGATCTTTAATGATTCATTTCCTCGGGAAACAACAAGCTGCAGAGCTTGCCCGGGGAGGGGAGTCCGGAGTTGCGTGACAGACGGGAGCCAAACTGTCAGCAGCACAGCCCGAGGGCTCTGCCGGAGCTGTCCCTCCAGAATGATGGACTGGGGACACTGCCGGGGCTGTCCCTCCAGAATGATGGACTGGGGACACTGCTGGGGCTGTCCCTCCAGAATGATGGACTGGGGACACTGCCGGAGCTGTCCCTCCAGGATGACGGACTGGGGACACTACCAGAGCTGTCCCTCCAGAACCACAGACTGGGGACACTGCTGGAGCTGTCCCTCCAGAATGATGGACTGGGGACACTACCAGAGCTCTCCCTCCAGAACCACAGACTGGGGACACTGCTGGAGCTGTCCCTCCCGAATGATGGACTGGGGACACTACCAGAGCTGTCCCTCCAGAACCACAGACTGGGGACATTGCCGGAACTGTAACTTCAGCACCACAGCTGTCCCTTCAGCACCACGGACTGGGGACATTGCCAGAGCTGTAACTTCAGCACCAGAGCTGTCCCTTCAGCACCACGGACTAGGGACACTGCCTGTGTTGTCCCTTCAGCACCAGATCTGTCCCTTCAGCACCACAGACTGGGGACACTGCCGGTGTTGTCCCTTCAGCACCAGAGCTGTCCCTTCAGCACCACAGACTGGGACACTGCCGGAGTTCAGAGCTGTCCCTTCAGCACCACAGACTGGGGACAGTGCCGGAGTTCAGAGCTGTCCCTTCAGCACCACAGACTGGGGACACTGCCGGAGTTCAGAGCTGTCCCTTCAGCCCCACGTCTCAGGGGCAACGGGGCACCTGTTCCATGGTCTGGGGACACTGTTGGACCTGTCCCCGGCACTAGAAGGGAAGCGCCAGCCTCTTCCCGGCTACTGATGGGCCATAGCCAACCATAAACACCTTTGATTAAATTAAAGCCACAGTAGTTGAAATCAGCACAGCAAAGAGGTAATCGCTCCAGACATGTTGCTAGCCTGGCAATATCACAGAGTACAATTAAGTTAGACATAAATTAGTCTGCAACCATATGCATATTGCTCGACTTTGTGGTCCGCCGATTCCTATCACTGTTTTGTCTGAAGGGATGTTTTGTGGAGATAGAGGTACCCTTCCAGATTAGGCAAGGTCTTTGTTCATTCTCTTTTAAAGGCCAGCCTGCAATGATATTTAAGACACACTTTTGCAGGAGTACGCACTGAGTACAGCAGGTTCACCAATGCACACCCCACTGTATGTGCTTCTGGAAGTCCAGAAGGCTTTAGAGGGAGAAAGACGTATATGAGAGCATACACAGAGATTTGAAAATAAATAACCAGCACAAAATATTAATATGAACATTTTAGATCACTTTCCTGTACAAGAAACATAGATAAGAACTCTTATTTTTCTAAGAACTTAAATGAAGTCGTTTTTTGATGTTTTTTTTGATCTGTGAGACAAATTAGTTTAGGATAAATGCAAAATTAAAGAAAAATCTTCCATGCTTACTTTTACAGACTAGCAGTAGATCAGATAACATCATGAAGCCACTTTAGTACTGAAGAGATGGTACAAAAAATAGAATTTCATTTGGCAAGATGCAGAGAGCAACTATTAATAAACTTTTGAAAGATGGATCAGATATCCTCCCAGAGCACAGCTTCCCAAGTGAACAATTGTTACAGAATGTCTGTAACTTTCTGCACCATTCTTTATTATCAGTCTTCCTCCCAGTGGTTCCCTGTTGCTATACACATTTTTAAATTTAAACAATTCATACATCCCAAAGCACCTCTGCCTACAGAAATGCATTTTATCCTCTGCATGCTTCCTAAAGAAATCCCAGCCCTCTGAAGGAGAAATGCTCCAACTTCCCATGCAGGTTGTACTCGTTTACGGGTACAATACCATCAAAACTGCTGTACAAACAGCCCTTTCTACCTGTCACCAAGAGAGCTTAAGAATGCAGCAAGTATTGCAGGCAGCCCCTAGGCAGGAGTACAGGGCACCATGAGTACACAGGCATGTGTGTGGAAGACTTGTTGTAACACAGAGGAGCACAACAGAGCAGTGTTCACTTAGCACACACAAGTGGCAAGAGACAGGCTGAGGAAGAGAGATTCAGTGGTCAAAGGAGGAAAGTTCTGACATTGTAATGAACAACGGGAAATATAAATCATCAGCCAAAGTTGCATTCTACTTTATGTTCTATAACCTGTTAATATATGCATTTGTATTAATATATCTAATAACAGAAAGGTAGAGGAAATTAACCCTTAAACATCTTATCTTTGTAAGGGCTAATAGGCTTTATACTGTCAGATGGTCTTTCAAAGGAAATTTTTTACTGCCCCAGATAGAATATAGTCAAATACAAACATAAGCAGACACTTTTCAAAGGGCAGTGGGCAGCACGTTCTGCTGAAAACTCAGTATCTTCTGGTGACCGTGAGAAAATTTCTTGTAACAATCCCTACATGGCAAAAAGACCAAGTCCTTCTGTATTAATAAGAGAGCTAATTTCATGTCCTGTTATGTATAATGCACTATCAAACAGCCACTGAGTTAGAGGGGTCTTTTCAGACCTCCACAGATATTAGAAGTTCTGCGAGAAAACCATTATTAACTGCCTTAGTAAACCCACCTTAAAGAACACAAAACCAGCATGAGTAAACCTGCTCATCCAGCCAAAGCCAGAGTTGTAGCACAGTTCTGTGTGCACTCCACAGCCTCTAATCACCGTGATATTTATTTTTATGGCAGAAAAGCAAACTTTGTGACAAATTCTCGCCTTTAGCTGCGGGAAGCAGGGAAGTACAAAATGACAGCCTGTGGCTGTGTCCACTGACTGCCCCTTAACTGTCCTGGGAAGCAGCACATCTGGGAAGCTGGGCAGCACGGATGTGACAGCAGGCATCATTTTGTCTGTCAGACTACGTGCCCACAAAGGGGAAATGCAGACTGTGACCTGTTGTCACATCAGATGCTCCAGTTGCAATAAAAACTCCAGGAACACATTGTCACTGCCCAGGGTTTGAGCACAGCTGTAGGAACCACCACCGCTGCCCTTGCCAACTCCAAAACAAAGTTTGCAAAAGCAGGTCTATCCATGCCTGGCTACATTAAGGGCTTTCCCAGCTGATCCAGTTCCCATGCCCTCATCATTTTCATTCTCCTCCAGATGCTTTTTGCCTAAGCTTTCCCTGTGTCTCTTAAGGTGGAAGAAGGAGTGCAACAACAGGGCCTTCTTCCTGAGGGGGACCCCAGGAGTGTCACTCTGCCTCTTCCCTCTTCCTCCCTCTTCCTCTCCATGCAAGCCACAGCACCATGGTAGCCACCTGGCCAGTGCCAATGCCCCTAGCCAAACCAACCCCACTCTTCTCCAGTCACACACAAGAGACGGAGAATCCATCTCCAGGAGAAGAGGTGCAGGACATGATCAAGTCCAACAAGTGCCCAAGAAGAGCATTAAATTACGTAAAACGGGAGGGAAGAAAGACTCGTCCAGCACATACACCTTTGCATGCTACAGCCTCCCTGCCCCTCTCCCTTTTTTCCAGCCCGGGAAGTTTCTGCCCCGGCCCCGGCCCTGGCCCCACAGGGCCTCCCCGAGGGGAGTCACTCACCGATGGTCGTGATGACCGTGATGGCAAAGTAGAAGGAGCCGGCGAATTTCCACTGGACTCCGGCGCGGTGCGGCTCGGACTGCATGATCACCAACTCCAGCTGCCGGTAGTCCTCGCTGGTGATGTTGTACTTTCCTTTGAGCCGGATCTCCTCGGCTTTGAGTTTCTCCTCCTCCCGCATCTCGTTGTCGGACTCCAGGGCATCAAAGACGGCAGCCCCGACCAGCAGGTAGGTGAACGTGCAGATGATGAGGGACAGGGTCCGCACGTTCTGCCTCTTCATGGCCGCCAGCAAGGGGCGAGTGAGGGGACCATGTCCCCCCCTGGCCGCCCGGGGTTCCGACAGGCCGCAGCAGCTACAGCAGGGGAGCAGCTGCCGGGGGGGCCGGCGGCGCCCGCCGCCGCTGCCGCTGCTCCGGGGCAGCTTGTGCTGCGGCGGCGGTCGCTCCCCGCCCGCCTGCTCGGGCTCCTGGGAAGAAGAGAGGCACAGGAGGCTGCTGGAGCGCCGGGACCAGGTGCCCTGAAGGCGGGAAACTCTGCGCAGGACCTGCCCAAACCAAGCCGTCCCAGTGCGCAGGGCCATCCAGGGCACCCCCCGCTCCTCCCCAGCACCGAGGCCAGGGGCAGGGGGTCCCCGCCGAGGGGCCGGCGGCCCCGGCACGGAGTCCTGCGGCGGGCGGGTCCCCCCGCGAAGTTGGCGCGGCGGCGCGGGGAAGGGTCGCCCGCAGCCCGGGCGGGGCGCGGCGGGGAGGCGGAGGCCGCCGCCGTCCCAAGTTTCTTCAGGCGGAGCGGCGGGGCCGGGGGGAGCCGGGCGGCGGCAGCGCGCCCATCCGCGGAGGAGGTGCGGGGCGAGGGGAGGAGGGCTCCCGGGCTCCGGCCGTCGGGGACCCGACCCGCCCCGGCCCCGGCTGCCTGCGGGAGCGCCGGCCGGGAGGGTCGGGACGGGCTGGGCGCTCTATTCCTTCCGCCGCGGTGCGCGGAAGGCGGCGGGGAGCCGGGCAGCTGCTGCCTGTGCTGCTGCTGCTGCTGCTGCTGCTGCTGCTGCTGCAGGTGGCCGCGGCGTGGGCAGCGGAGCGGCGTCCGGCGCGGCGAGGGCGGCGGCGGCGGTGTCAGGCGGCGGGCGCGGGGCCGGGGGCAGCATCCCCGGGCCGCGCCGGGCCGCGCCGCCGCTCGGGCGGGAGGCGGGGGCGCCGGGCCGGCGGCGTGGCCCTGGCGGCGGGGAGCCGGCGCTCCGCGAGCGGGAGGAGCGGCGCGGAGCCGCCCCGGCCGGCGGGCGGGGAGGCGGCGGCGGCGGCGGCCGCGGACCGAGCACCTGCCCGGGGCAGCGGCGGGGCGGGACGGCAGCGGGCGCTGGCTCCGGCCGCGGGCTGCCGGGAGGAGAGGAGAATCGCCGGCGGCTTCCCCCGGGAGCGCGTGAGGGCAGCTCGGCCCCAGGCAGACACAAAGACGGAGGCGAGAAGAAAAATAAGACCAAAAAAAAAAAAAAAAAAAGAAGAAAAAAAAAAAAAAAAAAAAAAAAAAAAGAGGGAAAAATGAAAGGGTACTTTCACGGCTGCTACCCCGGCGGTCGGGGCCGGGGCTGCTTTATTTAGGATGGTTTTAGAACAAAGCCGTTAAGAAAAAGAGCAACCGTCCTCCTCCTCCTTCTCCCGGGCTCTTGACATCATCTCGGGGAGAAGCGAGCCCGCGCCCCGCAGCCATCGCCTGCGCGTGTGTGTGCGGGCGTGTGTGCGGGTGTGTGTGTGTGTATGTGTGCCCGTGCCCGTGCCCGCTCCGGCGCGGGAGGCGGGATGCGGGATGCGGAGCCCGCCCCGGCCCACCGCGGGGAGCGCCTTAACCCCCTCGGCGCCGCCCCGGCAGGGAGCGGCCGCGGAGCTCCCCCGGTGCGGCTGCGGCTCCCGCCCCCCTTCCCCGGGCCCGGCCACGCCCCGGCCGCCGAGCGGGGCTGGGTGGTGGTGGGGCGGGCTTGTGCCGTCCCGGCGGGGACAGCCCGGAGCCGGAGCCGGTCGCACCCTCGAGCCGAGCCGCGCGTAGCGACCGGGACGGGTTTGTGCCACCTCTGCCGCCCCGGGGGACGGCGGCTCCGCGGCCCCACGCACAGCTCCACCGCGGCTCCGCGCACCGCCGCCCCTCCACAGACCGCCACCGACACACACAGGCAGAGCCCTGCACACCCCGAGCTTCACACAACATCGCCCTGCACATCCCGCGTTGCACTCCACCGAACACACACACACACACACACACACACACACACACACACACACACACACACACACAGCCCTACACACCCTGAACATCACACACCATGGCCCCTATGCACACACCTGCACAGCCTTACACACCCTGAACATCACACACCATGGCCCCCATGCACACACCTGCACAGCCCTACACACACGATGGCCCTCATGCACACACCTGCACAGCCCTACACACCCCGAGTGTCACACACCATGGCCCCCATGCACACACCTGCACAGCCCTACACACCCTGAACATCACACACCATGGCCCCCATGCACACACCTGCACAGCCCTACACACCCTGAACATCACACACCATGGCCCCTATGCACACACCTGCACAGCCCTACACACCTTGAACATCACACACCATGGCCCCCATGCACACACCTGCACAGCCCTACACACCCTGAATATCACACGCCATGGCCCCCATGCACACACTGGCACGGCCCTACACACCCTGAATATCACACACCCTGGCCCCCATACACACACCTGCACAGCCCTACACACCTTGAACATCACACACCATGGCCCCTATGCACACACCTGCACAGCCCTACACATCCTGAACATCACACACCATGGCCCCCGTACACACACCTGCACAGCCCTACACACCCTGAACATCACACACCATGGCCCCTATGCACACACTGGCACAGCCCTACACACCCCGAGTATCACAGGCCCCTATACACGCACTGGCACAGCCCTACACACCCTGAACATCACACACCATGGCCCCTATGCACACACCTGCACAGCCCTACGCACCCCAAGTGTCACACCCCACAGTCACACGCACCACAGTCACTCACCACACCTGCACATCCTGTGCTATTACTCCACGCACACAGAAATCCACACATCACAGTTCCACTCTGGCATCCCACACACACATTGACCTCGGCACACCACAGCCACACATACCACAGCCCCACACATCAAAACTCCCTCAAAGTCCCCATCCAAATGTGCCACAGCATCACACACTCCAAAATCTGCCCACACGACAGCCCTCCACACAGCAAAGCCCCTTGCCCAGCCTCAGCATATCCCCCAAAGCACAGGCATGCACTCAGCCCCGTGTCACAGGGGGGGAACTGGATGATGTTTAATGTTCCTTCCAACTGAAACCACTACGTGGTTCTATGCTCATTGCATACAACCTACATACACACAGCAAAATGTTCCCAGTGGTTCAGAGGAGCCAGCCTGGCTCCACATGTCCATCTCCAGCCCCATGGCTCCTGAGTCACCACCCTGTGGAGGCTGCAATCCCTCAGGTCCTCTGGCCACATCCTGCCTCTCATTCACCAGGTTTCCAGCAGCAGGTGTTGCCACAGGAGCCTGAGGCTGCTTTTTTGTCCTTCCTGAGACAAAGCTGACCCTGCTGGTGTTGCCTCACTCATAATTCTAGTCATCCTCCTGCATTAGAGCTTTTCAGCCTTACCCAATGAAGGCTGAGCTGGTCCTGATTTCTCTGAGCCTCAGGTTACTTTCCCTTGGTTTAGGTCTTTCTCAAATCTTAGGACCACAGGATTCATTACTGTAATTCTCCATCCATAAAAGCAACTCTGTCTGTCTCACTCCTGGCTATACATTGTCTAAAGTCTTTGGATACCCTTGCTGAGATATGAGGGGGTAGTGCCTTTTAGGTGAATCAGATCAGAAGTCAATCTCCAAGACTGAAGCCCTCTGAAATGTGCACCCAAGCTGAGTGGATGAAACTGGTCACAGGGCCCTTTGAGAGACTCCTGGATGCAGGGAGGAGGAAGAATTCATTTCATCAATTCAGCAAACAAGAGTTCACCCAGGGCAAATTCTGAATCACATCACCTGAGAGTTACCAGAATTGTTACAGCACATCATGAAGCAAGGTCTCACCTGCCAAAAGAAGTGTGTACAGATCAGCAACAAAGGGAAGGAGGGGAAAGGTGGAGAAAAGAGGAAATATCTGGTTTTGATCAACTCCTTAAATATAGAAGTCTGATTACCTTTGCCCATTTCTGAATCCTCAAGGGAGAGCAGGAGAAGAGGAATCTATAAATAGTTTGCAACACACAGAATCCTATAGCAAAGTTGCTGGGAAATATCAATAGCATGATTCAAGGAGGGCTCCAAATTACATCTCAGGGGAGGGAGGTGCTGAACAGAATTGATAAATGAGTTGCAAATGCTGTGTGTTTGTGTGTATCTAATTAACAGAGGGTGACTGGGATCAATAGCAAGGAAGGAGATGGTCTAAAAATAGGACTCAGGCAGGGACTGCAACCTGCAGGCAACAGCTTGGATGGAAATGTCCCCTGGAGTAATTAACCTTTAGCTGAAAGTGATGGTTAACATGAGGCCAAAGTGGGGCCTGTGGGCAGCTGGGAAGGGATGAGGGCTCCGTGGGATTAGGGCACAGAGCAGTGTGACATTGTGGGGGTACAGGCACAGCCAGGAGCTCAGAGCCTCCCTTTGGTCAGGTGACAGTGACAAGATGCTGACTGGTGTTGTGCTTTCTGGAGAAATATTTGAATATTGACATTTTACTGGGGTTCTGCAACAGAAAATGCATGCTGTTCTGTGTCCTCACAAATGTTTCAACATTGCTTAGAGAAAAGTAATAATTTATTTTTTTTTTAACATCTATTTACTTCCATAAGAATCTGCAGTTTTCTTCTTTTTTGCTGATCCTGTTACCAAGGAAGTACCCACCATTCTGAGGGCCAGTCTTTGCTTATCCAGACTCAACATCATATACATATTTAAGCCACAGAGGAAATAACTTGCAAAGGGGAGTGTCCTTCAATCCTTCCATCTACATAGAGCTGTCAGGCAAACTCCAAGGGAGAAGGATTGATGTTGGGCAGGATGGTCTATGGCTCAGCTTACAGACTCTGCTGAAGTGGCAGATTTCAGTCAAGTGAGAGGCAGAGACACACCCAGGAACAGAAAGTTCATTTGTAGATTGAGTGCAGGATTTGGACCTGGGGTGTACAGCATGACCGAAAGAAAAGGAAATTCTAAAGGATCTAGAAAATATCTCTGGCAGGAAAAGATTTAGGGGGGTAGGTGGTGAGTGAAGAGCTTTTCTTTTATATAGACAGAAGTGACTAAAAATTTCTGGACAATAGTTTTCTCCATAAGATTTAAAAATTTTGAAAAAAGTCTTTTATTCTGCTGTAGATGGAGCTACTAAAGGAGTAAACTCTGTTTAGCCACCAAAAGGAAAGTTAACTCAAAGGGACAACACATAACTTAGCTCTTCTTGGGTTAAGTCTAATTTGTGGGAGAGAACACAGGTTGGAAGACAGCTCTGAGACGTGCAGTGGATGGCCTGGCTGCTGACACCTCTGCTATCCCAAAGTTGCATCTACTGTCTCCACAAAAAGCCAAGTGGAATTTTAAATTTCCCACGTTTTAGGCAAGAGGATATGAGTGCTGTTGTGTCACAGCCTCTCTCCTGTTTTACCTTGAGTTCACTCTGCAGCAAAGGTAAGAGCCAGCCTCAAGGCACTTGGATTGGGAGTTGCTCTCCTGTCCATCCTTTGGACCTGACTGAGGTTCTCCTTGAGAGAAATCTAATTGTCTCTCTGCAAGAACAGGCTGAGAGATGCCAATCCATGAACCATCTT